AGAAACATCTTGAATGTCCACCAACTGGTGAAATAATTAACAAAATGTGTTATATCCATACAATGTAATATTTACTCAGTCATAAAATGAAGTACTGATTCATACTACAACATGGATGAACCTTGAAAATGTTATAAAAGGCAGTTAGAAAAGACCACATATGATTCCATTTAAATCAATACACTGACCAAAAAAAACAAAAATTGATCATTTTATTTCTTAATTTGAGACTCAGGTAGAGAAGCAGTCAAAAGCCCTCTCCATTCCAAGGAGACGGAAAAAAAAAAATCTCTATTTTTGTGTCTTAGTGTTTAAACTTGGTGTGGAAACATTATCAAATGTGTTTAACAATTGCTTCAAATAATAAAACCTACATACTATACATTAAAATAAAATCTGCTGAAGATATAGCCTACATCTCTTCTACTACAACCACAGAGAAAGCACATTTTTAAGAGGTAAGCTAGGTTTTACATTCAATAAGATTCCTTGGAAAATAAAGAAAGGGGGAGAAAAAGCTGTTACTACTTTGAGCCAGTCTAAATAGGGACATTCGTGAAAAGTCAGCCCGTAAACACTCTGGAACAGATGCACAGGTGGAGCTGGTTTGCCTGTTCTCAGAGTAACTGATTCAAATATTCAATTTTATGACTGAGAGTAGTAATGAGGCAAAAAAGGAAGACCTAAAATTAAATGAATGAAATCAATCACCAAGTATTGACTAAGTGACCCCAAAACTAACCCATGTACTTGGTATGCAAGTACAGGGTATAGTACTTCTTCCCATGGAATTTATGACCTAGTCTAGAAAGCCAAAACTAAAATACATGAAGGTACAGTGACTACACCACAGCACATGACCATGTTGATGGTCTCAAACGGACCACAGAGTTTAAGTACTTGTATTAGAAATCTACTAACAAAATTTATACTAACATATTAAAGGAGAAAAATCACATCATCAACCGATGGAGAAACACCATGATAAAATTCAACAGCTGGCCAGGCATGGTGGCTCATGCCTGTAATTTCAGCACTTTGGGAGGCCAAGGCAGGAGGATTGCTTGAACCCAGCGTTTGAGACCAGCCTATGTAACTTAGTGAGACTCCCCCTACAAAATATTTTTTTAAATTAGTCAGTCCTGGTGGCGTGCACCTGTACTCAGGAGGCTGAGGTGGGAAGATAGCTTGAGTCCAGGAGGTTAATGCTGCAGTGAGCCATGATTGCATGAACTCCAGCCTGGGTGAGAGTGAGACCTTGTCTCAAAAAAAAAAAAAAAAAAAAAGAAAGAAAAATTCAATAGACAATCACAATGAAAACTCTTAAACTAGAAATTAGAAGGAATTTTCCTAGTTAAAAAAAATCACAAACATCATACTAAAACTTTAAATTTCTACTAAAAGTAGAAACAAAACTAGGTGTCCACTCTTGTCACTTCTGCTGGAAGTCCTAGCTTACACAATGAAAGGAAGAAAGGACAGACAAGTAAGAGTAATAAAAATTGGAAAGGGATACAAAACTGTCGTTGTTACCTTCACTGGTTCACTTCCAAGTTAATCTACAGACAAACGACTAGAGCTAAGAGGTAGACAAGGTTGCTGGATACAAATCAATATACCAAAATTATTTGCATTTCCATACATCAGCAAGAACTAATTTGAAAATTAAAAAGACCACCACTCACAACAACACAAAACTAAAACATACCTAGAAATAAACATAACAAACAAGGTGCAAGGTAATTATTCAGAAGCTAATGAAAAGACATGTGAGACCTAAATAAATGAGGAAATGGAACATAATAGTGTAACAGTGTAAGGCCAGGCATGGCGGTTCACACCTGTAATCCCGGAACTTTAGGAGGCAGTGGTGGGCGGATCACATGAGGCCAGGAGTTTGAAACCAGCCTGGCCAACGTGGCAAAACCTGTCTCCACTAAAAATACAAAAATTAGCTGGGCATGGGGGCACACATCTATAATCCCAGCTACTTGGGAGGCTAAGGCACAAGAATTACTTGAACCTGGGAGGCAGAAGTCACAGTGAGCCAAGATTACACCACAGCATTCCAGCTTTGGTGACAGAGCGAGACTCTGTCTCAAAAACAAAACAAAACAAAGATAACAGTGTAAAGGTTTCAGGAGCATATCTTCAGGAGGGCCTCATGGGAAAAGATAAGAGTGGGACCATGAAGAGTAATTAGAAAGGCAAAAAGGACAAAGGGAAAACCAGTCGGGTGCAGTGGCTCATGCCTGTAATCCCAGCACTTTGGAAGGCCGAGGAGGGTGGATCACTTGAGGTCAGGAGTTCAAGTCCAGCCTGACCAAAATGGTGAAACCCCATCTCTACTAAAAAAAAAAAAAAAAAAAAAAAATACAAAATTAGCCAGGCGTGGTGGCACACGCCTGTAACCCTAGCTACTTGGGAGGCCGAGGCAGGAGAATCGCTTGAATCCAGGAGGCGGAGGTTGTAGTGAGCCGAGATCGTGACATTGTACTCCAGCCTGGGCAACAAGAGCGAAACTCTGTCTCAGAAGAAAAGGGGAAAAGAGAAAAAAAGAAAACCATGTGGGATGGTATTAACACAAGATGGTTCACAGGTTGGTTACAGATCAGTAAGATTCGCTGAGCCAATCTAAAACAGAGGACTAGATTACCAAACCTTGAAAGTACAAGTGGTTATTTATTATTTGATGTGGCAGGAGGCAGAGGCCATCGGCAGTTTCTGAGCATGTGGATAAGGTAATTAATATGGGATGATTACTCTGGCAGCTACAAGAGAGGACAGAGCCAAGGTTGGCAAGAGAAACGTGTAGAGGCAACAGCCCTGATTCTCTACGGCTTATCAGACTATATGGTGCCATGTTTTAGAGAGGATTCAAAAGCTAGAATATTTAGAGAACTGTAACCAGCACAAACTTGAAATCGTGAAGAATGGGTGGAAGAAGCAGAAAAGTTTAGCCTAAAGACCAGACAGGAGGGGGAGTGAGAGAAGTGCCAAGATAGAATGCTCTGCGAATGCATAAAAGGTTCTCATTTAAATTAGAATTGCTCTTTAACACTGAGAAGAACCAGGTGAGGAAGCACTGACCAAAATGAAACAGGTTAACAGAGGAAATAATGAGCCTGTTGTAATGAGGTGACCAGATACAAACAGGATGCCCTTAAGAAGTGGAGACTGAAGCACAGGCACGTTAGCTGGACTACAGAACCCAAAATATAACCCTTCCAACTCAAAACCTACAATTCTACACCAGCCAGCTAGTGCAGACAGTCCAAGAGTGGAATGAAAAGGACCTGCTCGACAAAGCTGGCAGTGGGAACATATGGAGCGAACTCTTCATCAGGTGAGCAGTAAAGACTGAATGGCTTAAAACGATAGCTAACATTTACTGAGAGTTTATTATGTGCATTCTCTCTCCTTTTTTTTTTTTTTTTTTTTGAGATACAGGCTGTCATATAGGCTGGAGTGCAATAGCGCAATCTTGACTCACTGCAACCTCCGTCTCCCATGTTCATGCGATTCTCCTGCCTCAACCCCCCCAGGAGCTGGGATTACAGGCACCCGCTACCTGCCAGGCTAATTTTTGTATTTTTAGTAGAGACGGGGTTTCGCCATGTTGGCCAAGCTGGTCTCAAACTCCTGGCCTCAAGTGATCTGCCCACCTCGTCCTAGCAAAGTGCATTCTCTTTTCATGAGTAAACTCATGTTCTTCCCAATGTTGTAAGACAGGTACTATTATTGCCCAATTTATGTTCAGGAAACTGAGGCACAGCGCAGTTAACTAATTTGTTCAAGATTACATAGTAGGTAAAATATGTGCCTGGCACATGACAGGTAAATAATACGGAAAGTAAAGGAGAGAAAAAAATTAAAGATTATGTCAACATTTCAAATTTGAGAGACTTAGGGGAGGGGAACAAAGAAGGTAGGTAAGGTCGGGAACGGGGGAAGAGGGGAAGAGAGGGAAGAGGTGATGAGTCCAGGATAAGACAAAAATATTCAGCTGGCAGCTGATACCATGAAACTAGAACTCAGAGAAAAGGACTCAGGTAGTGTTGGTAGCTGTCTGCAAAGAGGTAAAAGGGGATGGCATGACAAGGAACACACTCCTTAAGGGGATTTTGGAGAGAAGAGCAGAGGGTCAAGGACTGAGTCTTGAGCAATATACGGAAACCAAGAGCAGGGAGAAGCAGCCAGTAAAAACAGGAGAGATGAGATAGAGCAACTTCCCAACTGGTACACCCAGATATGATCCCCTCAGCCCTTGGAGCAGCTAGACCTCACTTTCCTCTATCTAAGTTCCTTTGTAAAAGTAATTATAAGCTGGGTGCAGTGGCTCACGCCTGTAATTCCACCACTTTGGGAGACCAAGACAGGGGAATCACTTGAGAGGCCCAGAGTACTAAGATATGGAGTCGTAAAGGCCATGGAGGAGAGATTAAAGACAAAGTGATTTAAGAGCACTGAGTGCTTTGGGCGTCAAGAGGTAAGGAAAGTAACAGATGGCTGGGCATGGTGGCTTACACCTATAATCCCAGCACTTTGGGAAGCCGAGGCAGGCAGATCACCTGAAGTCAGGAGTTCAAGACCAGCCTGGCCAACATGGTGAAACCCCATCTCTACTAAAAATATCAAAGTTAGCTAGGTGTGGTGACACACTCCTGTAATCCCAGCTACTCAGGAGGCTGAGGCAGGAGAATCGCTTGAACCCAGGAGGCAGAGGTTGCAGTGAGCCAAGATGGTGCAACTGCACTCCCAGCCTGGATGACAGAGTGAGATTCTGTCTCAAAAAAAAAAAGAAGCAACAGATTACAATAACAGCATCATAGGCAGTGTGCACAAAGCCCCCAGCAATGTCATCATGTTAGCTTCCCTCTGAAAGCATCCTTAAAATAACTCTAACTAAACCTTACAATTAAGGAAGTAGTAGCTTTCCTCAGGTACTGTTGGTAACTATCTGCAAAGAGCTGTCTTTTACTGCGGTAAAAGAAAGGGGGGTGCTCACTTTGACAGCACATACACTAAAACTGGAATGATACAGACATTAGCACGGCCCCTGCGCAAAGATGACATGAAAATCTCTGAAGCATTCCACTAAAAAAAAAAGAAGTTGGCTGGGTGCAGTGGCTCACGCCTGTAATCCCAGCACTTTGGGAGGCTGTGGCAGGTGGATCACTTGAAGCCGGGAGGTGGAGGTTGTGGTGAGCCGAGATAGTGCCATTGCACTCCAGCCTGGACAACAAGAGTGAAACTCCGTCTCAAAAAATAAAAAATGCTAGGAGTGGTGGGTGGCTCAAGCCTATATTCCCAATATTTTGGGAGGCTGAGGTGGGAGAATTGCTTCAGCCAAGAAGTTCAAGACCAGCCTGGGCAATATAGTGAGACACTATCTCTACTATTTAAAAAAAAAAATTTAATAAAGAAGGAAAACTGCAGTAAAAGGGGGAAATCACAGAAACGAGGTCTCTTCAAGATAGGGACAATGGGCCCCTATTTTAATCCGAGGAGGAATATGAACAATGGAAGAAAGATATCAGCAATGTAAGCAAGTGCAGTGGTTTCCAGACTGCTCCACAAATGCCAGCTGTAGGAGAAACACCTGAGAGGGTTCCAAAATGTGAGATGACTGCACATACTTCCCTTGTGGCTGTTTCATCTCTTCCAAACCTTTCCTATCACCCATCTTTCTGAGAGAAGCTAATCCCCACTTTGGAGAAGAAACTAAATCAGGGTTCGAAGAACACCTTGCAAAAGAAAAACTGAACATTATCTGAATCCTTGTTGACTGCCCTGTTTTTAAGCTCTTTAATGTGTTAACTCATATTTAATCCTCACAACAAAACCCTGAAGTGGGTTTGCATTTTCAGATGTGGAAATGGAAGCGCAGAAAATGTCAATAGCCCACCCACGCTGTGGTAACAGCTTGAAAATGATGGGTTCAAACTGAGAAGTCTGACTCTGAAGTCTAACCTCTTAAACACTAGAACATGATGGTCATTGTTTTATAGATGAAATGACTGAACGCAAAGAGAAATACCTGCTCAACTTCAGAGTCAGTGACTCATCTGACAGAGGCGAAATCAATGTGAAAAGTAATGCTAACCACTTCTCTCAAAAAAAGCAAAAAGGTGGGAGACCAGAGAGTGAGAGAAATCAGTGTTCCAGTCACTTCTGAGTTAGGAATGTAATGGATGCCTTTAGCATCTCTCCATAAATGCTGAGAATTCTGAATTCTCAGATCAGAATCTGACCAGGCACAGTGGCTCATGCCTGTAATCCCAACGCTTTGGGAGACCTAGACACCTGTCTCTACAAAAAAAATTTTTAAAATTAGCCGGGGGTGGTGGTGCGGGCCGGTAGTCCTAGCTACTCCTGAGGCTGAGGTGGGAAGATTGCCTGAGGCCAGGAATTAGAGGCTGCAGTGAGCCAAGACTGTGCCGCACTCCACAACAAAGAGAAATCTTGCCTCAAAAAAAAAAAAAAAAAAAAGAAAAGAAAAAAAATAACACACAGTAAAAGTTTGTAGCAAAACCAAATAAACTCATTCTGCAAAACCACTTAGAAAGTTAATTGTAATTGAATCATGTCCTCTCAGTTTATCAATGAGCAACAGATATAGTAGGCAGCTCAATTACACTCTGGAGCTAAGTGATACCGCTTTTAATCTAGTGTTTACTACAAGAAAATGACTGTCACTATTCTAAACTCCTAAACTAACACCTAGTTAGGACACTAGAGAAACTCCTAGAGGCAAAGGAGCAGCCCCATCTTAGCTGGGCAGATTAAGGATACTCTTTTGACTAATTGGATAACAATCCATTACCAACTTTCACGAAATGACAGAAGGGGTGTGTTTTGTGTTTTAATCTCTTTGATAAAGATACAGCATTTGAGCATGATGGCTCACGCCTGAAAGCCCACCACTTTGGGAGGCCAAGGCAGGTGAGTCATCTGAGGTTAGGAGTTTGACAACAGCCTGGCCAACACGGTGAAACCCCCTCTCTACTAAAAATACAAAAATTAGCCAGGTGTGGTGGCACGTGCCTGTAATCCCAGCTACTCAAGAGGCTGAGGCAGGAGAATCGCTTGAACTCAGGACGCAGAGGTTGTAGTCAGCGAGATCACCCCATCACTCCAGCCCGGGCAACAGAGCAAAGCTCCGTCTCAAAAATAAAAAAATAAATACAGCATTTGGAAAAGCATCTCATTTCCAGAGCACCAGATCGCTATTGAACATCTAAATATCTGCGTCTTATAAGAATTAGAGGTTGAAAGCATCAAGTTTTGAATGCACAATAGCTTGGCAAAAAAAAACTTGAACTTGAAAATTTGATGAGCAAGTTCTCCTGGAACCTTCACCAGGCAATCTTTGAAATATACTGAGTTTCGCCTGAAAACTAGTTTTTAACTCAAATAAGGAGCCAGAAGAAATAATCTGCTTACTCATGCTTACTCATTTGGGGAAAAATTACTTGTATACCAGTGTCCAACTCGCTCCTCCACGTCTGAAAGGTCTGATGAGGACTTAGCCTCTCGGACTTCGTGAGGTGGCTAATTTATGGTTTATTTCTGACCCTCCTACCTCCTCAGAGATGGCAACTAGCAGGGCTCTACATAAGAGACGGATCTGCGACTATATAATGGAATAGGAGCGCAGGAAGAAAGCGGGGTGGACTATGGAAAGTCATCAAGGACCACACAAGCTTTAATGCAAGGATTACACAACGAGCGCGGGGCGCGGCACACAACAAGTAGCTCTGGGAACGCACACTCTCTGACACCTGGAAGTTTTAGGGATTTGGACGGCTGCTGAAAAATACTGGCAAAGGGATTTTCTGGGGAGGCAGGAAGAGAACGGCCGCCCAAAGAGGCGACGACCACGCGCAGGGGCTGAAAGGACCGCGGGATCCACGCCAAGCCCGGCCCTGAGGCAGGCCGGGTCAGCGGGGTCGGCAGCCTTCGAGGGGGAAGAAGGGTCCGAGGCGCGTCCCAGGCGGCGCGCCACAGATAGCGTGCCCCGCTCTTCGGCAGCTCCACTCACCAGGAACTGGAGCATGATGTCGGTGGGGAGGGCGAAGAGGGTGCGAAGGGCGGCTGCAGCTCCCCGGGCCGGTCCGAGCCTGCCTCCCCATGCGCGGGGGCGGAACCCCCCCGTCGACTTCCGGGTCACGCCCCGCCCCGTTCCCCCGCTCCAGCCGCGCCCGGAAGCGACTCGCAGCGTCGCAGCGCCCCGATGTGCCCTGGCGGAGCGCATCTGCCTAACGGCCTAAACCCGCTGGGCAGCGAGTGCGCGCCGGGACAGCAAAGAGCGAGTCCCGAGCCTGGCTGGGCAGCCTTGAGCATCGCCCTCTGTAAACCTGGGCTGGGGCCCAGGAATCTGTATTACTCCCAGCACGCGGACGATTTTAATAATACCGCCCAGCTTAGGACTCCCTGGCCTAGAAGGACCGCGTGGGCAGCAGGTCTCATCCGCAGCTCAATCGTGGGATCTCTTGCAACATCCTCCACCTATGCCCAGCGGGACTTTGCGGGGAGGAAACGAGGCTTGTAGCTCTCAAAGCTCCGCAGGTGTGCTGTGTAACCAGCGTTGAGGACCTAAGGTAGAGATTGGGTGTTTAAGAAGCTCGGATGGCGGCCCTCTGATGTCAGAAGGCCAAAAACATTGTCCATCAGGGTTTCACGCAGGCCCAGTTGAGGGGTTGGTGGTGCCAGCTGGTTTAAACTGGACAGGAGCTGACCCCAAATTCCTGAAAAACAACTTAGGAAACCTTTATCAAGCAACCTAGATGTCTGAGATGTTATCCAACGGCATGTACAACATACTTTTTATTTCTGTGGAATGGAATCAAACCCAGACAGCGACGACATACTTTTTATTTCTGTGGAATGGAATCAAACCCAGACAGCGACTACAGAATATACGCTAGAAATTAGCAAAATGCCAGGAACGGAGCAGGAAAAAGACAAATGAGGCCTAAACACACAAAACCCTTCACTGGGATCTGCTGACCACAGCCAGAACCAGGGCTGGATCACACAACCAAGGCAGGTACCAGGTACCAGGGCTGCAGGAAGGGAAATAGGTAGGGCAGGGAAAGGCCCACACTGGGATACGGGTTTAGTACCAGGTAAACCACTCTTGGTATTTACATACAAAATCAGTTAGCTATATTTCTTAGACATAAACACACAGAAAGGAAGATTTGATCATTACGAATCTGTCATTTTGCAATATTGGTATTATCAAGAAATAGGGACAGTTCACTCAGATTCAAATTTCAGTAGCAGGAAGTAAATATCAGAACATCATCATTGTACCTCGATACAAAATCTCTACACTACTCAATATTGCCCTCCCTGCCCAACTCCAAAGGACCACTCCCTGGTGGCTGCCACTTCGCTGCTGACATCTCCAGGACATACCACGAGTGTCATGTGGCCCTCCGTAATGCTGGCGCCGCAGGCTTAAACAAGGCTGAGAAGCAGGAGTGAAACACGCCAAAGGCTCCGTGCTGCAAATACATCCACTTTCTTTTTACACAACAAACTTCTTTAAGGATCTGGTCACTCAACTGGAACGATAAATAGCTTTTTAGAAAAAGATTTAGAAGTCCTTAAAAAGGAGAAAGTGTACATCTTGATTACTCCAAACCAGTCATCTTCTTAAAGTAGAGCAGTTCACAGATTCTCGAAATCTATTCAACAGAGGCGAGCGTGTGTGGACCAGGAGGCAGCCTGCGTGGGGGTGGTGTCCTCCAGGTATGTGCCTGGCAGGGCTAGAGGAGCTGGTCAGGTGAGCAGGATACTGTACTCAGAGGTCCAGCTGGCCATCTGTCCTCCACAGAAAAAGCTGCCAACAAGTTAGGGTGTTTTGGTCCAAAAAATCCTGGTGGGGACAGGGAATTCCTGAAGGGAATACGTTTTTTAAAAAAAAAAAAAAAAAAAAGTCTAGGGGAAATGGGGGAAGGAGGACAAGAGCTTTCTTGGGGGGTGGGGGGAGGGGGACAGAGTCTTGCTCTGTCACGCAGGCTGGAGTGCAGTGGTGCTATCTTGGCTTACCGCAACTTCCACATCCTGGGCTCAAGCAATTATCCTGCCTCAGCCTTCCGAGTAGCCGGGATTACAGAGGTGCACCACCAGGCCAGCTGATTTTTTTTTTCATTCTACTTTAAGTTCTGGGGTACATGTGTAGATCTTGCAGGACTGTTGCATAGATACACAGGTGCCATCATGGTTTGCTGCCTCTATACCCCCATCACCTACATCAGGCATTTCTCCCAATGTAATCCCTCCCCAACCTCCCCACCCCTCACTGTCCCTCCCCTAGCCCCCTACCCCCCAACAGACACCAGCAGTGTGTGATGTTCACCTCCCTGTGCCTGTGTTCTCATTATTCAACACCGACCTATGAGTGAGAACATGCGGTGTTTGGTTTTCTGTTCTTGTGTCAGTTTGCTGAGAATGATGGTTTCCAGATTCATCCATGTCCCAACAAAGAATATGAACTCACCCTTTTTTATGGCTGCATAGTATTCCATGGCATATATGTGCCATATTTTCTTTGCCCAGTCTATCATCAGTGGGCGTTTGGGTTGGTTCCAGGTCTTTGCTATTGTAAACTGTGCCACAGTGAACATATGTGTGCATGTGTGTTTATAATAGAATGATTTATAATACTTTGGGTATATACCCAGTAATGGAATTGCTGGGTCAAATGGAATTTCTATTTCTAGATCCTTGAGGAATTGCCACACTGTCTTCCACAATGGTTGAACTAATTTACACTCCCACTAACAAGTGTAAAAGTGTTCCTATTTCTCCACATCCTCTCCAGCATCTGTTGTCTCCAGATTTTTTAATAATTGCCATTCTAACTGGCATGAAATAGTATCTCAATGTGGTTTTGATTTGCATTTCTCTAATGACCAGTGATGAGGAGCATTTTTTCATGTCTGTCGGCCTCATAAATGTCTTCTTTTGAAAAGTGTCTGTTCATATCCTTCTCCCACTTTTGAATGGGTTTATTTCTTGTAAATCTCCTTTAGTTCTTTGTAGATTATGGATATTAGCCCTTTGTCAAATGGGTAGATTTGCAAAAATTTTTTCCCATTCTGCTGGTTGCTGGTTCACTCTAATGATTGTTTCTTTTGCTGTGCAGAAGCGCTTAAGTTTAATTAGATCCCATTGATCTATTTTGGCTTTTGTTGCCAATGCTTTTGGTGTTTTAGTCATGAAGTCCTTGCCTATGCCTATGTCCTGAATGGTATTGAGGCCAGGCTAATTTTTGTAATTTTAGTAGAGACAGGGTTTCATTATGTTGGCCGGGCTGGGCTCGAACTCTTGACTTCAAGTGATCTGCCCGCCTCAGCCTCCCAAAGTGCTGGGATTAGGTGTGAGCCACTGCACCAGGCCCCAAGAGTTTTTACATAAAATAAATTTTTTTTAATTTTTAAGGGAGAAAGAGAAAAATCGTCTCTGAAATGGTTCTGAGGAAACAGAAAGGAGGATGATGGAGATGGTGTTTATTGTTGGCCTGCCCCGAGTAACTCAGCTGGCTTCCATCTGGAGTTTCTTCCTACTTCAGGGCTCTTCAGGCTCCAACTCTGAGCTGGAGTCGGAGCCCCCATCAAAGGCAGAGGCCGTGCTGCCCTTGGCATTGCTGCAGAGGATGCTGTCTGAGGAGGAACAGTTGACTTGCAGCTGGGCACTTGACCTCCCCTTTGGTGCATGGACTTGCTTCTTCAGAAGAGCATTCTGACGCTGAGGTCATCAATATCTTACTGGCGTGTGGTTTTCCCGTTGCAGATGCTGGATGTACTCTGTGGCTTTGTCTAGGATTTGGGCCCAGGATGCCTTCTTTCCTTAGAGTGATGGGGCTGAGTCCCACAAACTGAAAGCTGTCTTTGATGTGGTCCCTATGATTTCATTCCAGTGTATTATGATAGGCTCATTTGACAGCCGCAGATCGAAATCTCAGTTGTTTCTTGTCACTCTCCACCTCGATGTCATCATGATCACTCATTTCCTACAGCCCAGGGAGCAGCCACTGCAGCAGCAGCAGCCAGGGGAGGAGGCAGGGCAGAGGGGTCTGAGGAAGTCACTGACAAGAATCAGTCCCCTGCCTACACACACACACTCACTCGCTCTTACTCACACAAAACACGAGCAAGAACCACCTCCTCACTCCCAAACTCTCAGTTCCAAATTTAGCTGTATGTCTTGCCTCTTAAGAAGGCTTCATACTTCAGAGGTTTATAAAATGCTTTGATTTCATGCCCAGGCTCTTTGCTAATTATTTCTAAGTTCATGCCTGTGCTCCAGAAGATAGAGATAATCACATACCTGACCAGCGGAGCAATATGCACTATGACTACATTTTAGATCCATTTATTTATTCTTTCACATCCAGGACTTCTATTTACTAACAGAATGTTTTCCAGCTAAAGATAGTGTTTATAACTGGTGGGCAGGAAATTAATTACAAAATATAACACTGACAAGAGCCTTTAAATTTCTTTTTCTTTTTTTAAACCTGACAGCATAACTTTCTCTAAGCCAAAGCTGTTTTAAAATGATGCTTGAAGGCCAGGTGCAATGGCTTACACCTGTAATCCCAGCACTTTGGGAGGCTGAGGCAGCCAGATAACTTGAGATCAGGAATTCAAGATCAGCCTGGCTAACATAGTAAAACCCCGTCTCTACTAAAAATACATTAGCTGGGCATGGTAGTACATGCCTGTAATCCCAGCTATTGGGAGGCTGAGGCAGGAGAGTCACTTGAGCCCGGGAGGCGGAGGTTGCAGTGAGCCAAGATCATGCTACTGCACTCCAGCCTGGGCAACACAGTGAGACCCTGTCTCCAAAAAAAAAAAAACTATAATACTACAGAATAACTATCAATTTTATTCTATAGTATTATAGTATTTATTCTGTTACTACATGAAAGTGAATACTTTCTCCTCTCAGCAGTCTCGCCTATGTATTAGGCAGAAATAATTGCTGGCTGGCAATGGAAGTTTGCAGTTTCAGATGATGTAGTTACTTAAACATGAAAACAACAGGGTAAGAAATAGAGTGGTGATTATGTAAATGTTTTGTCCTAGGGATAACCATCATATTAATTACATGAGAAATACTGGCAGATAATTAAAGAAATTTCACATTCATTTCTAAGGAATAAATGCAAATTATTGTTGAGTCAGTTCTCCATATCCCCAGGTTCAACATCTGCAGATTTAACCAACCACAGATCACAAATATTCGGGGGGA